AGATGGATACAAACAATCCCGATCTTGAATACAAATGTTTGTATCGTGTTTGGATCGAACCCGCGGCCAACCGAATGAAGATGACGTTACATATAAAATTTAGTATTTTAATATTAAACTAATTGCATGATTCTAATAATAGTGTCCTTTTTTATGGAACTCGGATATACATATAAGTACGGGTAATTTTTTAATTAGGTAGGCACTAATTATTTACCGTTGTTATGCCTCTGTGAATCATGAAAATCTCAAGTAAACCCAACATTTATTAGGAAGAAGTCTATCCAAATTTCGAAAATAATGGCTTAAATAATTTTTTTAACGTATAAATAAGCATCATCTATTTTTTTATACCACAGTTGTGGCAATAAGTATACGAACCATCTGATGGTATATGGGTACAGCAAACTCTGCTGTGCTAACGGTATTTGCTGTCGAAGTACTACTTTGACAGGAGCAGCTTGAAGTCGGGTCAGACGATGGTTTCTAGGATTTGACACGTTGTATTACGTTAGGCTCGAGTATGTTAGACCGTGGTAATAGATCTGTCTGTCAATCAATACAAGACTTTAAATATAGAGAGCTCTGGCATTCCAACGCTGCGGTTAAATTAAACTACGTTAGTTGCAGGGACATTATGAGATTGTCCGTGCGTTCAAGGTTCCTGTAAACACAGGTCCACCAGTAATGGGGTAATAGTCAGTTGTATCTCAATAATTTCGTGTCATGTAACAGCCGAGCCGGGACTATTGCGAGCTACCCGTTCCCATGGCATTCCGCGGGAAGGACTAGAGACAAGGCCTTATTATTGCCATAGATTAAACTGGTGACAGAAAGTGATCATCATTCGCAATTATGACAAAAGTAGGTTTGTTTCCATTTCACACCGCATAACCAATCTTGAAATAATTTGGTTTATGCGTGAGTTTTGTGATGGAGAAGGATATAGGTTTTATTCCTGTTCTGTAAAGTCCTGCATACACTTCGCCGGTAGAAGACTAAATACGTAACGTAATAAACATTTATAAGATCTAAAAATGACTAAGAAAATAAGTAATAATTACAAATACTAAATTTAATTGCTTATTAATTTACCATAGGTCCTTATTGTGATAGTTGAAAGTAAAAACAAATCAATACTTTGACTTGAATCGTGAAGCTCTTTCGATTTCTTTAGCAGTTTAAAAATGTCTTATAACTGATTTTATACCTTCTATGATAACATCGATCCCTGTCCAATTCAAACGGTGGTAAAAGTTGTTGTTCAAACCTCTAGTAGTGTCCTTTGACTAAAGTCGTATCCAGCAGAAGCTGGCCTTCAGCTACTCTATTAAAAAAAACTTTTATGTAACCGAAAATAGTAGCTTGTATAAGCACTGCTATTATGTAAAATAAAATATTAATAATATGAAAGATATCAAGTGTAGTAACTTATCTGCCTAACTCACCATCTGAACAATAGTTATTCTGCAGTGATTACGCGATCTTTGCGAATATGTAGCCGAGTCGGGCACGTAAATAAGAGTAGACAAAGGGAGCAATCTGAAGGCGCGTGAGGATAAAAAGTAGCCGTCAGAGTGGTCACGAGCTCGGTGCACTGTGCACGAAAAAAAGGAAAGCTGTCGTGTCTGCAGTGTGGAGCCGGCCTTATGACCTCTTTGATTAGCCATTTCGCTTGCAGGCTTAGCTTTTACTGGAAATATTTCTTTATAATTTTTTATCATATTTTTATATCATAGGGATTTCTTGAAGAATGCTTTGTATAAAGTCTTCATCTGTGTTTCGACTGAGATATGGTAGTGAAAGTGAAGTTACAACACAGCATTTTACTCTTCCAGAATCACAAAAGGGTACCAAGTGGACGATGTGATGCTATTTATGTATATAAGCAACGGTTGCCACTTACCATCAGATAGACTGCCCGACTATTAAGACTGATGTATCTGATTGTAACAATTGCTTCTAGCATATTGACAATCAAATGAATTATTTTTATTTATTTATTTCAGACTGTATCCATATTATGTTAGTAAACAACTTACAAACCATGCTAATAGTAATTATATGTTCAGATGCACTGGGTCCGCAGTAGTGCAATGACATCCAGTGCCTATGGAGTGGACAATCTGACATATTTGCAATAGTGGTTAGGAGGCTGTCTGCGCTCCCCCGAATTCTAAATTAGTGATGCAGTTCTTTTTGGCAATTTTGGTTAGTGAAACAGTTTCACGAGGAATCATTATTCTCAAGTGATTTAGACTGCGTGAAAATAAGATGTAAAGAGATTAATCAAAAATAATTGTGAATATTTCCCAGGTTTTTTTTTTGAAGCGCGTACTAACTGTCGTAGTTAGTACGCGCTTCAACTACCTATTTAAAACGGTCTCAAACGTTGAGACGATGTTTTTGTATGGCGCAGCGAGGTTACATTAAATACAAGTGGACGTCAGGTGCCGGGGACGGGCTGGTCACGATTCTTTGACCGATGTCTAACTGAAATACTACCATTATACAAAGTAAAATGCACTTTATTCACAACGATCATTCATATCAAAATTAAACGACCAAATGTAATTCACTTTCACGATACCGTCTCAAGAATATGAACTTTGAACTGAAGACGTTATAGTCGGTTTTTGAATGTTGGTTTGACGGTGAGATTGAAAATACTATGCGTTAGTTAATGCTCTGCCTATGATCGTAATAAGTAGATGGTGTGTTGAAAAATTATCGGAACGATCGGAGGCGCAATGGACGCGTGACTTTTTTGCCTGTTTATATTTAGTTTGAAAGTTGGGACTTAAAGTTGCTGGATGAGGTAAAAAGTATACCAAAAAGTAACAACTTAAAAAAACAACCATGACCTGTAAAAGACATGGCAATATAAAAAAATATTGCTCAAAGTCAGTTATTGCAAGGCTTAAACAATATTTGCCATACTGCAATGAAATAATAAATCAATAGAAAAACATGGCAAGTTTAGGATAACTAAGAGCATGAAATTAGATCAGTGGGCCAACGTTGAGAATTCATCAGGAATAAATTACGATAGATTCCATACAGCATTCTAGGACTTTTTGACAAGATTCCCAGGTCCCCATTACTGGAAATCCCTAAAGTTCGAAGTTCAAATCTCGGGGAAAAGGAAGTTGTGTATATCTGATTAATTCTCAGGTAGTGGACGGACAGCAAACCAAATTAATCCGAGAGATGGCAGTACGCTCTTCCACTCAAATTTCAAATTAAGAAAAAATTCTAAATATCTTTATTCATGTAGGTCTATTACAGACTCTTATGATATGTCAAATATACCGTCAGTTCGGAATGATTTCGAGATGAGAAGAACTGACAAGAAACTCAGCTCGTATTTTTTTTTAATGTTGTACATATTTACTATAATACTATTTCATTTAAATTCAAATTTGGGAGAATAGAGTGACCATCAGCATATGCTATATAAAAAAAATAAAAAAATCTAATCAGTGTTCGCAACCTGAATAGACCAGTCCCCACAAGCAGCACCCGTTCACGAGTATGACGGATGAGCCAGCCATCATTGCACTCAACCATATTAGAGGGAGCACATCGACCCGGCCCACCACGCCGCCACAAGTTTGAACTTTATAGCGAGCATGACTGTTTCAAGTTACTCCACTATATTATTTAAAGCATAAACTGTACCAATCACAGTTTTCACCCATTACAATATTTAAATTACAATACGTGAATACTAAATTTAGAATAAGTTTCTTTAGTGTTTATTACATTATCTATGACAATGGGAAAGTTATATACCTCATAACAAAAGTTAAAATTGTGCACTGTCAGGCTAGATGCAGATATGTCAAGTGATAACAATGGTGATTGTATATTACAATTTTTAGTAATTACTAGCTGTTACTTCGACAGCGTGGAAAATACCTTTTTTTAAATTAAAATAAATAGTAGATATTGCTACAATGAAAGTAGACTAAGTTACTCCTTATAATATTAACTATCTACGTGTAAAAGTATCGTCAAAATCGGTCCAGCCGTTTCAGAGATTAACAAGAACAAACAGACAGACAGATTTTTTTTATTATTGACGTAAGTGCTGTATATACTTTCATATGCACTTAGCGAAATGCTCTTAATTTGAAATTACAAAACACACTACAATTTTATTTATTTGTACAGATAATAATGTTGGTCACATCTAGTTGCCTTAAGTATCTGTGTAATAAACGAGTTTGAAATACCCGCTGCGAAGTAATAAATGTAAGTAATGCGTAGCCCCCATCAAAATGTCATCAATGTATTCGGGATCTAAGTGACAGATTACATAAAGTGCTTGTACATAATTATTATATACATCCTATTTGGTATTTAAAGTATTTATTGATTGAAAGATTGGTAGGCTGGCACATAGCAATGGAGTATTCTATTTGCAGGCCAAATATATAGTTGGTGTGTTGGTGGGTATGATGGTATGTGCTGCTTTTCTTGTATTTTTTTATGGTAACCTGTGTAGTAAAACGTCAGATCATTCTCGAACTGATTTTATTTAATGAGGTAATTCTATATACTAAAGCAACACAAACCGTGCAACATACCCACATAAATTAATATTATAAAATTATTACTACATGTATCCCTTAAAGTAATAACGTAATATATTCATGAATAAGCACTATTTCTAAATCTGAAATAGGTTATTAATATTATTTTATACATATATATATTCAACATGCCACTTTCAAGATTCTAATATCGTAATAAATATTATCTATAACACTTACATACAGGTGATATATGTATACTTACAATACAACTAAGCAATTCATTTTTTATATCATTGAACTTTTAGAATAACACTTTTAAATAATCTTATAATTTTAAGCAACACTGAATCATCGTAATTTATTGTATATGTATTAAAATTTTAATTCCAATACTTACTACTTAATTATACATTTTTTTTATTTCATGCTTAGCTACGGCTGCCGCCTGTCTGGGGGTACGCTTCTGGTTTTTACAATTAGACAAATGGTTTTTTACAAGATCTTGTTCTGTATTTGCTGTATTTTTATCTACCTTTTGATATGAATAACATTCGTCACCCTCACTCTCCGCACTTGACCATCTTTCCTCGTCTCCTTCTAGATTATCACTTTTGCCCATTTCAGTTTTTGCAACCTGTATCAGGTGTCGCCTATTTCGCCTGTAACGCCTACCCGAGTCATCACTAACAAAATACGATCGCGGTTGTGATGATCGTGCATCCACTCGTGCCCTTTTTCGGTCGTTTCCGTATCCATCTATCATTATAACAGATTCCCCGGCCGTAATTCGGGTAAATCGCGTGCATGTTTGTCGTAGTATTGTTTATTATTATTCTGCTTACTTATAATAGTTTTATATTGATTCGTATTATCACGAAACGGATACAACTTACAAATGTGCGACGGTAACCTGGTATTTAGCCTTCGTCCCATTAATAATTGTGATGGAGCGTCTATACCATCTCGTGGAGTCGCTCTAAAATTAAGAAGACCCAAATAAAAATCTGTACCCGACTTCATGGATTTAATGAGAATATTTTTAATAATCTGTACACTACGTTCACTACGACCGTTCGATTGAGGATAATTAGGTGAAGTAGTAGTGTGGTCGAAATCCCAACTTTCACTAAACATTTTGAATTCTTTTGAAGCATACGCCGGACCGTTATCAGTTACGAGTTCCTGCGGTATCCCGTGCCTAGAGAAGTGATCTTTCATTGCGAGAATTACAGCTTTACTATTGATACTAGTCAGCGGACTTACTTCTATGAAGTTTGAAAAATAATCGACGAGTAAAAGAAAATATTTTTTACCGCATTGGAATAAGTCTGAGCCGACTTTGGCCCAGGGCAGGTCCGGTATGTTGTGCGGCACGAGCGGCTCCCGCGGCGGGCGGTGGGCGCGCTCGACGCACGCCGCGCACCGGCGCACGGCGCGCTCCACGTCGCGAGACATGCCCGGCCAAAACATCACGTCGCGCGCGTGCCGCTTGCACCGGTCGATTCCCATGTGACCGTCGTGCACCCGCTGAATCATTTCCGCGCGCAAACTACGCGGTATATACACCAGGTTGTCTTTAAAAATTATACCGTCTATATATTCGAAACTTTCGTTATATGACCACTGACTACGAACTAGTTCGTCTACATCAAATTTATTACTCGGCCATCCCCTCATTATGTATCGTATTATTGACTTACATTCATCATCTTTCTCAGTAGCATCGCGCACAGCTCTTATTTTACTGTCACTGAATCGAATATTTTGTATTAAAAAACAAGTCTGTTCTGTTATTTCGTCTGATATATGATCTTTCATTAATTCGCTTAACGGTGCTCGCGACAATGCATCGGCGATATGCATATATTTGCCCGGTTTATAAATGACTTTAAAATTATATGCTTGTGCGCGAAGCATCATCCGTTGTAACCGAGCCGGAACAGAATTCAAAGATTTATTAAATAAGGCTTCTAAAGGTTTGTGATCTGTTTCGACTACTACATTTTTTCTGCCAAAAATATATTGGTGAAACCGTTCTAAAGCATATACTATCGCCAACAACTCTTTTTCTATCTGTGCATAGCGACTCTGTGTTTCGGTGAGCGTTGAGGAGGCGAACTCGACCGGACGGCCTCCCTGAAGCAACACTGCGCCGAGCGCGCACGAACTTGCGTCCACTGATAACACGACCGGTTCTGTCAACGAGTATAAAGCTAGCACAGGCGCACCGCACACTAATTCTTTTAATCGCTGTACAGCCGCGTCGTGTATGGAGTCCCACTGCCATACTGTGTCTTTTTTTAATAATTGACGTAACGGGGAGGCTACCTGAGAATAATTAGGTATAAATTTTGAAAGATAATTTATCATTCCAAGAAAACGTTCTAATGACTTCCGATCCTGTGGCTTAGGCATGTCCTTAATTGCTTTTAACTTATTATTGTCTACATGCATACCTTCTGAATTAAACTTGTGTCCTAAGTAAGTAACTTGTGGTACACAGAATTCACATTTAGCTCTGTTAAATTTTATACCAACTTGACGTGCCCTATCTAGTAACATTTTTAACTGTTCATCATGCTGTGTCTTATCAGATCCCCAGACTATAATGTCATCTACGAATGAGTCCACGCCTACGAGGTCCTCTAAGAGCTCCCGTACCTTTGCATGAAACACTTCCGAAGCGCAGTTGATACCATATGGTAAACGCAAAAATTGGTATCTGCCAAAAGGCGTTCCAAACGTACATAGGTCTGCGCTTCGGTTATCTAGCTGAACCATCCAGAAACCAGAACGAGCATCCAGTTTACTAAAAAATCGTGCTCCTTTCAATTTCGCAGCTATCTCTGTAACAGTCGGAAGGGGATAATGCGCGCGGTGTACTACGCGGTTTAGTGATCGAGGATCTAGGCACAAGCGAATGCTGCCATCTTTTTTCGCCACTACAACTATAGCATTCACCCACGGTGTCGGATGTGCTACCTTTCTAATCACCCCCAGATTCTCCATTCGTTCTAATTCTAAAAATAATTTATCCTTGACACCTAAAGGTATTTTTCTCACTGGACACACTACTGGTTGTGCTCCTATTTCTGTGATAATACTGTACTTACCTGGTAACTTCCCTACACCTTGAAAAAGATCATCATAATCGTCTATATTTATGGCAAATATTCGTCTTACTAAACCTAATTCATCACAAGCATTTTTGCCCAATACACTCTGACAATTTTGATCAGAGATTATAAAATAAAGATTGTATTTACGATTTTTATAAATCCAGTCGATATAGCAAGACCCGATGATAGGAATATAATTACCACAAAAAGACTGTGCTTTAGTTTTGTCAGGAGACAGACATGAAGTATTCAAACCCAAATTTAAAAAAGTTTTAATTGACATGACGTTTAAATCCGACCCTGTGTCTAATTTGAATACTTGTTTACTATTATTACTAACTAATGACAAGGTTTCGTACCACTTACAGTTCTTATTGCCAGAATTTCCGTCCAGTGTAGAAACGTAATATAGTTCCTCGTCACTATCACTAGCACTTTCTTTTATATGATATATTTTATTTTTATAACGCTTACCCGGACACATCCGTTTGAAATGGCCTATTTCATGACACGAAAAACACTTAACACTTTTGGCGGAGCACTGTGAACCTCCTTGACAGCGCGCCGAGCCACAGGCCGCACACCCGCGAGCCGCCGCCGCCGCGCCGTCCGCAACAGGCGCGCCCAGCCGCCCGCGGCCTCGCCTCGCCTGGCGGCCGCCGCGCGGGTACCTGCTGGCTCCCCATTGTTGCTCCGTTCGTGCTCCATATACTACGTCCACAGCCGACGATGTGCCCGCTTCGGTCCCACACTTGGCGTTTTCTATCTGACGTTGTTCCTCCGCGGTCATCTCACTAGCTTGACAGATTTTCACGGCACGTCCCAGGTCGAGATCGTCTTCTCTAAGTAGACGGTCACGCAGCTTGCTGTCGGTCACACCACACACGATTCGGTCACGTATGAGACCTTCCTCCAGATGTTCGAATTCACACGACTGCGTAAGAAGCTTCAGAGCGGTCACATACTCATCTATAGTTTCACCTCTCTCTTGGTTTCTCGTGAAAAATTTGAATCTAGCCATAGTGGTGTTCTTTTTCATACCAAAATGTTCGTTAAATTTATTTATGAGAATATCAAAGTCCTCCTGATTTTCATTTTTATCGTATTTAAATGTTGTGTATATGTCGTACCCGTCGGATCCAATCAAATTCACCAGTAAACTTGATTTGACATCCGTACTCTCTTTATAAACTCCAGAGGCCTTCATAAACACCATAAATTGTTTAGACCATTTTCGCCACGCGTCGGATCTTGCAGCCGGACCACCTTCAAGTACTAATTCCGATGGTGGTCGTGCGTGTTCCATGATTATTATAACACTTCACTTACTGAACTTATTTTTTACAAAATTACGCTTTAAAGTATAAAATATCAGTACTTTTAGAGTATAATAATGTTATTTTTCGTAAGAACACCGCTGTCACCATGTAGTAAAACGTCAGATCATTCTCGAACTGATTTTATTTAATGAGGTAATTCTATATACTAAAGCAACACAAACCGTGCAACATACCCACATAAATTAATATTATAAAATTATTACTACAACCTGTAATAGATATATGTGATAAGAAATTTATGTATAAATAAGGAAATTAATACCTGATAATTAATTACTTTATTTATACAAAAATTTCTTATCACATATATCTATTACAGGATACACGTTAATATGAAACACGACAAAAACACTAACAAAATTATTCTAGGGACTATATACTACAAATTACAGGAATTATTTATATATTATCACTTTTCTAATTTTACACATGTATAATTATGTTGTAACAAGAGAGCTGGCTTGTTAGTTGTGCAACATAACGACATATACCCAGCGAGGAAATACAGCCTGCGTTCATGGCACCACTCCCATTGATTGAGACCTCTCTGACCGCTTGAAATAGGTAAGCATGTGTACCTATATTATATGTGAGCAAAAATTATACTTTTTATTTTCTAACAATATTTATTCCTTTTATACGCAGGAAATGAAAAAACGTTAGTTAATCGTCAGTAAATTCTGATTAATTTTCTACCCAGAGAATGTAGATATAGGTACTATATGGTCGTATGCTGAGCGTTACGAGGTTACTAATTGGTTATTGCTCACTAAAGAAGAAATTTTCAGAGGCCTGTCCTGCATTGCATTGGTTGACAAAATTAAGAGTTGTGTTTATCACAGGCAAATGTCTCTGTCTGTCTGTCTGTCTGTCTGTCTCTGTCGCTCTTGTCTATAGTATATGCTTTGTGATCTAAATTTGAACTTAATATTTATAACATATATAAACAAGATTTGGTAACATACTCTCTAAATCATTTGTCGTAATGTAGCTACTCTCCCATATGTTGATATTTAATTTAGACAAATGCAATGATTGCTGATTCTGTCACTAAAAGAAAAGCTATCATAAGATAAATACAACGTACGACAGAATGCTACAGTTAATTTATTTTTAATTGCCAATTCGTAGTTTATTAACCGTGCTTTTATTTATTGGTTACGACACAAATTGCGACAACGCCGCCGGCGCAGCCTACCTTACACTCTAACACATCGTCCGTGTATAAATTAAGAGATAAGATTAAAACGTGTTTCAGAAACATTATTATAAATGAACATACGAACAAACAGTATTCACTTTTACTCGCATCAACTTGACAAGCTAATTAAAAATGCAAACAAACGGACAGACAACACTACTTGTGTTTTGATTTATATTGTAGAAGTTAAAAGTCAAGTTAGAAACCTTTGTGTAGTGTGTTGGCTACATTGACTGACGTTTCTTTTCACTGACATCGAACATTCTAGTGCAGATTATGCAATATCTTCGCCAATTCTCCTGATTCTCACAGATTTAACCCGGCCTCACATTATTTATTTAATAAGGTTAGTCGGACGATTGTCTAATGTTCTTTTATTTGAAAAACGTCAGGGGGACAGCAACCCTGTTCAAAGAAATGTATACTGTATTGTAATTAAAGTGTACAATAATCTTCCAAAAGATATTAGAAAACTGACAATATTTACACGTAAAGTCAAGAATTGGCTATTGCTTTTTAATTTTTAGTGTTCAAGATATTCTTAAAAAATAATGTTTTCTTATCATTTCCATGATTGTTATGGTACATAAATATTGCTTTTCAGTAAGTTTTTCTACAGGTACAGGTTAAATACAGGTACAGTACCTGTATTTAATTTCATTTCAAGAGGGAGGCGCGTATTGTAGGGCCTAATAGGTCAGTCTAGTAGGACAATCGTCCGATTTAACCTTATCATGTGAGGCCGGGGTTAAGATTATTTTTGCAAGTCAATATACAGGACCAAGTGTACATACGTATATTAACGATATGTTAAAAATTGTAATTTGTTCTTTTTTCCCATTATTGTTGTATTTTATGAGATCCAATAAATTATAGTTTATTCTATACTTCGTAATTAAGGTAGACTTTGCAAATAGTGTTCTGCGTAATTTTTAAGATCAGCAACTTGTTTTTGTAATCTATGTCTAGGATAATGGATAAGACAGTGGAATTACAGGGTATGGATACATGATATTTAAGTCCTACAGAATGGCAACACATGAGTAGTATTATGGACATAAATAACGTGATGTCCATGGTATTTCTCATGTTATAGTGACTGTATAGCAATATCACAGAGAATAATGCCATAAAGTACATTTACAGTTGGCTTGCTATTTCAGTTACTTAAAAAAAGACTATTGTACTTACAACTAATATTACTAAAAGAAATATTTAAAAATAGAACAATAATACGTTCGATATTTAAATATTTGTGGTCGAATTTCGACAACTGGCCGCCCACTAGTAGATATCTATTAATTACTATACAGGTGGCTTTAATTATAATGATATATCATTTGTTCAGAAGGATAGCTGCTTTAATACGACTCTATATACAATATAACACATGATATATAGTAGTATAATTGTGATTAAGTAATAGAAAATTATGTATAAAAAGTTATAGAAAAAATAAGGTCAATAACCTCGAAATTATAATCATATGTAGAGATATTATTAGAATTTTATTTTTGTTTGACCTTTGTGTAGTACCTCTAACAAGTATTTCTGTTTCCTACGGTTGACTGGTTCATAATAATATGTCTTTAAGTGTTATATTTGCATGTGTAAGTATACTTTAATTATGAAAGTTAGAAAAATTTGTTTGTTACTATGATATTCATTGACAACCTTGGCAGTATAGTGGTGTAGCACACTTACTTTAGTTAGTCGCGGAATGGATTCTTATACAAATATTTGTATTCATGAGTTTTCTTTGCATTGGTTTACGTGTTTTTTGTGTCTTTTATGTATGTATTTTAAAAAATTATTCATTATTTCTATTAGATCTCAAATCCATAGTATAAGTTAAGCTTAGTTTTAATGAATTCTTTGCTGTGGTTATTAATTAATACAAACAACAAAAGATCCTCAACGAGCCTTGGTTTTCCGAGCAGATTAACACAGAAAAAAAACAAAGGGGCCGACCGCCGGCTATCAAATCTACGAACACACTCAAGTGTTCCCAACAATACTAACAAAAACCGTGTCATTGTCTGTCTGGTGTAACATTGTGGCTCCGTATACCTACACATCCAACCTGTCAAACAGTGAAACTTCGTCTCAGCACGAGATATTCAAATTTAAACTATCCGTATGTCATTCGATACAGAGCGACGTCCATCTAACGTCTTCATGACTATGACCAACTTCATTCTTAAAACATCATACGTCTACACGACACAATCAATTCAAAACCAACCTTATTGCGTGGCTGATACGAATCAAATTACTTGTAAATACACTTTGACTATAATAGCATAAAGGAATTCGTCAAGTGACTACCCGTCACGAACCTTGTGAAAGACCAACTTACAAAATTGAATAGCCTGTAATTCTATACTTTATGTGTAAGCATTAAAGATCATTTTAGGTATACACGTGTATGTTTAACCCCTGAAGAGTGTGAGGTGGTCCGAAAGGCGCTTCTCCAAACTGACGGCGTCAAAATGCTTCAAAGCGGTCAAGTGTGATGACTTCTTGTTAGCAAGTGTATTTTGTACATCGCCAGTGACAAGATAATGCCTGCGTGATGATACTTTTCAGTTCCAAAGCAGTTAAAACGTCAACTACCAACGTGAAGTTTGGTAATGTCCTACTGACATGAACCCACGTTTACACTTGCATCATATCTTTTAGTAAATGAAGGTAATTAGTTATTTAGATTTTTATAATCGTGCGTTTCATACTCACCTTTGACTATCTAGTTTTCTTTTACAACTCATTAATTAATACTTCATCATTATCAGCTCACTGCAGTCCACTGCTGGACATAGGCATCTCCCAATAATGGGAGGAATGTGCCTATAATCGCCACACTGGGCATGCGGGTTTTTTTTTATGGATGACAATGGAATGATGCCCCCGGCCTGCGCTAACGGTTTACGCTGGCAGGGCACCGGTAGAGGAGGATAAGATGAGTATGAGGTCAGGTCAGTTTATCACGATGGTGATAGTGAAGAATTTATCACCAAGAATTTATCACGATGGTGTCCAGGGGTAACCGCGTGGAGGTCAACCTGACATAGTACATTGCTAGCAATAAGATCATCAGTTATAGTTAGTAATATGTACTAACAATCACCTTTCCCCAGGGGCAAGCGGGTTGGCAATCGCAAAGTTTCTCGCACCGATGATGCTGCTGCCCATCATAAGTCTGTGGGATTTAAAACTATGTAGATAGAATGGCTATACCGCCACTTGTCGGTCGTCAGAGCCTCGTCTGTTGTTTAGCAGGATGTACCGCGAGCAGGTGAGGTTGACTTGGAGCATTGGGGTGGTGTTTGCGCTCCCTTACATCCCACTAACTGCTTCATTTACTAACATTAAGCGCAGTTCATCTGTTTTTTGAAACTACCAAGGTGGCAATCAAGCATCGCTTGAAATATTTGTCAGCAGTCAACCGTGTGATGTGTGACAACCAACTAACAGAATTTTTTTCATAAAAGAAAAATGACAAATACTTTTTTTTGCCTTCTGATAATACGTGTTAAGTGCGGGAATAATACCAGGCTTTCAGTAACCATAACTTTATTAATACTACATGTAATCGTATTTAACTGAAAGGAAACACTGACGTAAAATTTATTATTTATTTATTTATATACTTAATATAGATATGGATTTTGTTACATACAGTTGTACATTATTTTCATGTACATTGGAATTTCATTTATTTGAAGTGTTGTGATACCAAACCTGTGTTTTGGGGGTTGGTAGCGC